GGCACGCGGCTCGCCTGCTGCTTCTGCGCCGAATAACTTGAATCCAGGCTGAGGTTACCTTGAACTGCCTGGTAATAAGATACGGCTTTAGAAGACAATTCATGCGTTTCAAGCAAGTTCTGACAAAGAGATTTGCACCACTGTTACGATGACTGCAAAATCAAACAGTGGTCCGTACAATGCCTGAAAACAAACGGACTGGATTTGTCTGAACAAGATACACCAACATTTCTTTGTGCACAGCTCTTGCGTGCCCTTTCAGGGTATACAAACACATAGAAATGCCCATCTCTTACATCAGCTGCTTCCTTCAGAGGTGGAACCTTCAAATGACAGGTGGGATGTGCCCAGGGGAGGAGCTGGGGTAGAGTACGGTACAGTACTTCACGGTGATGTGGATGACTGAGGTGTAGACCACTGCCCCTGCCATCACACTAAGATTTTCCCAGCTGGGCAGCTGCTGTTTCTCTTCTCGGAAACAGCGCTGGGAAGAGAGGAGTGCTGGGGAAGACGCACTGCAGAATTCCCTGGCACAAAACTAGCGAGCTGTCCTGGTTTTGGGGGCTCTGCTCTCCCTGGCTGTTGGGCTGAGCCTGCGTGGGAGTGGGGTTACGGAGAAAGGGCTGGCGGCTGGCTTCAAGCCTTTAACACTTTCTCTGCATGTAGTTACCACAAAAAGAGCAGGCTAAAAGAAAAAAATGTACTCCATCCAAAACTACAGGTATCTCTAGAACCCCTTCACACAAACTCGTAAGAAAGGGGCTTTTATGACAAGAACAGGGAATAAGGGAGACCAGAGCAGATGCAGCATGTCCTTCTAATCCCATTCCACATTATTACTGAATATACAAGGCCCTGGGTTTTTCAATATTTGGTAAACTACTGCCTAGAAATCTTGGAGAAGCACCTCAGAAAATACCTTCTCAGGGCCAAAGAACCAAAGATGAGCTTTATGAAATGCTCTTTCCCCAGAGCAAAGACCCAGAGATGTAAGAAGCCTTACTGTAAAGTAGGTGTTGTACAAAAATAAGGCTGAATAATACTTTGCAAAGATGGGCACATTAGGGCAAAAATTGAACTGTAAGTGCATGAGGAGATAATCCCTGGTGCAAGTTACAGCAGTTGTGTTGCTATCAATCTCTGTACTCTTGTGTTGGCAGATCAAATGTAATCCATACCTTACCTAGAAGATGATCAAGTACTGTCACTGCAAAGGGATTACTGTGACAGCATACAGTCCCCTTGGCTCTCCTGACAGGCCATGGTAAGGCTGCCTTGCAATTTATGAGGGAGCTGGCATGGATTATGCTTGAAGCACTGAGACAGTAAGTGCACCATGAATCATTCATGTAAATACAGATTTCTGTTGCTGTCTTTCCTCTGTGTAGGGCTAAGCCAGAGGATCCCTCCCTTCTGGATGACCCCAAGATCAAAGAGATTGCAGCCCAGCACAATAAAACCCCAGCACAGGTACGTAGGTGCCAGACAGCGGGCACCCCTTCCTGTAACACTGGACAGCTAATGACAAAGTAAAGGACAGGCTGGCTCTTCATTTCCTGTCAACTGTGGTGCTCTTCTGTGACGTTAAGTAGCAACGCAGGTTTGTTTACTATGTGGCCTGCAGTGCAGGCTTGTAAGGGCTCTCTGACCATCAACAAGAAACATTTTCTTGACCTGTCTTCAGATGCTGTCATGTTTCAGTCTTGCAATCTCAAGTCCTATTGCAGAGAATGAAACCTTGATAGAAGTCCAGGTGGGAAGGAAAAGACTTGATTTTCCCAAAACTGGATGGGAAAGGAGGTGAGGCTCCACCACTTCCCTCTTCGTTCTTCAGGAAGTGCTGCCTGGGCTGCAGGGACAGGAATGATTTGAAATGCAGCTCTGCAGAAGCAGCTATAGCTTAGGGAAAAGAGCTGTTGGAACAAGCTCTGCTTCCTCCAGAACAGGAGGAATTATTCAGTTTTCTGTTCTTACAGGTTCTCCCTCACTTCCAGATCCAGAGAAATGTGACTGTGATTCCCAAGTCTGTCACACCACAGCGCATTGTGGAGAACTTCAAGGTGAGTCATTAGGAGAACCTGGCATGTTCAGGGATGGCAGGCCTTCCCCCTGCAGAGCAAGCAGTGATCCTTTCTCACCCTTCCCAAGTCCTCTTCAGGCAAAAAGATTTCTTGCTTACAGTCTCTGATTTGTTCAGAGAGGTGATTTCCAGCTGTTTCTCTTTTTAGGTGTTTGACTTTGAATTGACAAAAGAGGAGATGACAACTATTCTCAGCTTTAACAGAAACTGGAGAGCATATACAAGGGGCACATTAAGTGGTAGCATTCAGTATTTTGTTTTTTCAAACGCTGAAGTCATGAACACTATATACACAGAGATATTGCATCTAAACATTGCCTAGAGTGCTGAGAGCCTGAGTCACTGACAAAGTGACTTGGGTGTTTCCAGTGTACAAACAGCACACACTATCCAGGAAAACAAATATGGAACAAATCCATTCTACAATTATATAGTTCAGATCCTGCCTTGGTGGCTTCTCTAAGCACCCACTACAGCTTCATATATTAAAATAAAAAAAAGATAGCTGAAATGAATTCCTTTATTCCCTTCAGGTGCAAAACTCGCAAGGAGTACCCATTCAATGGACAATACTGAAGATGGTCATATCCTGCCCTCATATCCTCCAGAGCTTGGTCTGATATTCTTCCTATCAATTTATCTAGCTTTCTTATTGCATCTCTCCTCCTGCAGCCAGTGAAGTCACAGGATATGTGTTCAGTGACTTATTGTGGTGGTGGTGGTTTTCCTTTTTTGAAATAAGGACACAGAAAAATTTTTCTAAAGAACAAAATGTGGGCTGTAATAATTCTCTGCCAAAATGTGGAATTAAGGAGAAAACAGCGAGAGACAACGCACATTTACACTTGTACTCCATCTTGTATCAACAGGCTAAGGAGGATAATCGGCAGTTGTGAGCACTGGAGGAAAATCTCTGAGAAATGTCAACTAAAGACTAACTTCCTTAGGATGAGTGAGACAACTAGGAGTTTCACCACTCCAAAACTAACTGAAAAAGTTTTTTTTATTATTTATCCCTTTCTCAAAAAAAAAAAAATCCATATGCAGAAAACATACAGTTGCATGCTGAGCAGTATTTTTACACAGGCTTTCTCCTATGTGTCAAAATACAATAGCATGGTGGGTTTTGGATACAACACAATTTCAACATGTGCTTCAGATTATTACTAGCTGTGAAATTCTATTCTTATGTGGAAAATTGTTAACAAGCAAAAAAAAAAGAACCCTCAGAACTTGCACCTGCCATTTCATTCAAATGCCCGTCTTTGAGAAAAACTGATCTTTAAATGCAACAATGAAATAGAAAATTTCTGCCTGATCAAAAAGATCTTTTGCTTTGAAAGTGTAAGTGTTTATGCTCTTGCCTAGACCTTACAGCTAGAAGTGAGACAGGATGCTGGACTCCCAATACCATTTGACTTTAGGAACTGATTTCATTCTTTACTAGCTCCATTATTTTTGAGTTCAATATTCTGCCTGTTGCACATAAAACTGTTTGTTTGTTTGTTTTCAAACTAAAACTTCCAAAAGAAGGTAATATACAATCCCCTGGGCCAGGAACAAAATGTGGCAGAGGAATGCAGTGCAAGTATTTTTAGTACTTCTGTACAGAACTAATAGATGTTAGCCTATCACAGCGAAACAAAAGAAATAAGAATTTCCTTGCTGTTCTGTTTTTAAGATGCATTTTGTATTTCAGACCCACTCTGCAGAGCTGTACTTGGCCTTTGCTCCTAAGTCACAGGCAGCTGCTGAAGTCTGTCTGCTGGGGAATCATCTCCCCTAACTTTAGGGGAGACCTCAGGGACAACCTCCATGCTCCAGTGACAGCCAAGGGAGATTTGGGCTGAACAAAGGCAGCAGCATTCAGCACGATCCATTACACCCATGATGGGAGCTGCCCTTGGTTCATACCCAGCTTGCGCTCTAGACCTCATACACCCTCTCTCCTGTGAACAAAGGTGAAATACACACAGGTCGGCTGCAGTCACCTGCACTTCAGGGACACGAACCCTCCCTGGGACAACGAAGCCACTCGGCACTTTCCCCTGCGGGCACCAGAGGGCAGCCACCCTTCAGAGGAGACCCGCGTTGTCCCCTCCCCGCCGGCCACCAGCCCCCGACCACACCCCCCAGCGGTGCCGTGGGGCATTTCACACGCCACCAACCCGGGCGTCTGCCCCCGGTCAGGGGAGGTTCAGCCCCTCGGTGCTGCGCCCAAATCACTGGCCTCCCTACCGGCCTTGCGAGCCTCGGGGACCAATTCCCCGGGCAGAACCATATGCTCTGAGCCCAGGGCACCCAGCCGAGGACAGGTGCTCAGGGATGACGGCCTATCCCGCTCCAACCATCTTCTACAGCAGCCCCCTTCAACCCAGCCTCCCCCTCCCACCACTGCCCCAGCGCTGCAGCAGCGGGGGCTTGCTCACCCCCACGGGGGAGCAGCAGGGCCTGAGCCCACCAACCCCTTTGGCCTCTCCGCCTCCACATCCTGGCCCCAGAGGGCACAGTGCAGAGGCACAAATCCCAGCAACCCAGGGATGGCAGAGCCGGGCACCTGAGCTCCCCACACACCCCTACATGCACGGACACCCACTCTGGAGCATACCTGGTACAGGGGAGTTGTGCAAGGGTAGGTCTCAAGGAATCGATCCCCAAATCTCCTTCTCACCTGACGCTCAAACTCAAGCCATCAAAACAACACTGAGGTTGAGAAGGTATTTGCTTTTGTGGCTGTGTCACCTTTCTATTTCCTCCTACTGGGCAGGTGACCAAATGCATAATCAAAAAGTTGCACATCGGGTTTCATGGGAAAATGGTAAAACCTTTTGTTGAAGAAAAGAGGCACCTTAGCACCTTCTTTCCAAAATTTCCACTTTCAATTCATGAACATGTAATCCAAGAACATTTGTTTCGCAGCTTCCTGAAGGAAGCAACTCATAAACCCCTCAGCAATCCCCAGGCTGAGGTGAGACAACGCTGCTGAGACTAAATACACATTCTTATTGAACAATAAAGGTACAGTATTTGCTATGGTGCGGGGAGAGCCAAAGGTTTAGACCACTGTCTTTTCAGTGGCATACCTTCTCCAACATGAGCCACCCAGTGGCCGCAGTGCCTTCAGGCATTTCCTTGCTCCAGCATGGCTCATCCACCAGCTGCAGTCCCCTCAGAAGTAAGTCCTTTCGGCATGGACCTCCTTCAAAGAGTGCACCTGTTTCCAACAGTGTGCCTAAGCCAGGGCACCGTGGGCTTAAATTTTGGCATGAGATAGGGTGTTTACATGGGTTTTGGAGCTAGCTAGCCCGCTAACATGGTTCTGGCGGGCACTGAGCAGTTCATGGTCTCCACACAGTTCACCACTGCCATCCCCTGATACGCCCTGCAATTTATGTCCTTTACATTCCACCCTTCACCTCATTGAAAGATGTATTAAGAATTATTTCACCCTTATATAAACTCTACCTTTAACATCATCACAGTCTTAATGTATATTCATTATAAACTCCATCCCTTGTCCCTGCAGACCAGACTAGTGTAGTTAACATCTCATCAGTGTGAACGTAACACGCATCACAAATCCACCCCTTCCCCAGCAGACAAAACTATCAGGATCAACACTGCTACAGTCTTAACATACACTTTCCAACCCCTTCTAAAACTTTTTCCAAGCTCAACCATACTACTGGACTCCCAGCATTATCCTTGGCCATGCTGCTAATCTCCTGCCTGTCTTCTGGCATGCTGCCTCCAGTACAATACATGCAAGTCACTGCTCGACGTCCAACCAGCTTATCAGGTGATACCAGAGGGGTGGTAGTAACTGTGCTCAGACCCTGAAGCTTTCAGGCCACAACATCAGTGATCACCACTTTTTCAGGGTCCCTTCCCCCTTGCCTGTAAACACAATTCAGCAGTGGATTACCTCCTTATTCCCAGTCCCTCTGTGGAGGTGTCTCATCTGTGGGATCAGGCCATTGCTCCGCACAGCCCTTCACTAGCAGATCCTAAAGCCTCCTTCCTTGTGCAGGGCAGTGCTTGCAAGTAGAATAGAGCCCAAACTCCCCAGAACGCTGCTCTTCCAAGACAAAAGCTGTATTCCATTTGCTCTGGCTTCCCAGCACTGCCACAGCCACTGCAGGAACACCAGCTGCTGCAAGTGTTCAGCATTTCTGTAATTTCACTCTGAGCAAAAACTGTCAAGAGAGCGCTCACACTCTGGGGAGTAGCACTCTTATCTCCACAGGTCTATTTAACCTCGCAACTCAGGCTGCCTGAAAGGGCTTTGTTTTTACTTCGCCGTCAGTCCTCAGTTTCCCCCTGGAGGTGCCAGCCTCCCCCTCTGAGACAATCACTTTAAGACCACTCGCAGCTCCCGCAGCTGCAGCCTGACCTACCTGGCACACAGCTTTCCGTCTGGCCAATTCAGTGCTATTGCTCACTTCTGACCAAGGGCCTCCTCTTTGCCCTGAGCACTTGTTAATGCCCATTACTCCAACAATGATCATCAGCCTGACTCCCCCGCTCTGCTAAGCGGTCCTGGTCTCTCTGAAGCCCCATTTGCAGCACATGGCAAGCCCCAGCGCACAGCCACATCACAGCAGCACACCTCCGTCCCCATGTTTCACAGCCACCGCCTCTGCAGCTCCCCAGCCAGTGCTTTTTGATCCTACACATGGAGAGAGCACTGCACCAGGCCACTGGGTCACGGGCTTGGAGGAAGCACCTGTCCACCTCTTCCCAATCACCTTCCCACCCCGCAATGGTCTCCCCAGGTCCCTCCTTTCTCCAGCTGTTCGCACACTGTCTGCACTCATCCCTGGACGCACGCTGGCTGCACCATTTCCACCACCATGTATTCCCAGGGCCAGGATCATGGCTTCTTCCAGATCCCTCTCATTAGTCCAGTTGTGGGCCGTGACAGGGCTGGACATTCTCCAACAGCTACTCTCCCAGGCAAAACAGTCTCATCTCGGGGCAATCTAAGCTGATGTATCGCCAATTAACACAAACTTCCTTTCACCGGTTCAGGTACCGAGGGGGTAAAATAGAACAGAGAAGAACAAAACACTTCAGTAAATGCCTTTCTCCCGCTTCCCCAGCCTCTGTCTAAGCCAAACACCAACCATCTCCCCGTCCTCGTCTCTGCTTCCCCCATTTTCACCACAGATTACACCTAGTCCATCCCAATCCCTCCCCTGAAGCAAGGGTGGCTCGGAGGGTGGGGCTGGGTGCCTGG